GCCCCCGGGGCGGGGGCGATGCGGTTGCGGCCTGAGGCTGAGCTGGAGGCACTTTGCAAGGCAAAACCTCTTCCCTGTTGCGTGCCTCGCTTCCTGCAATCCCGCAGTTTAGCAAAAATGATTCGGTACCGACTTGGCATGGATTTATAGGCAGGCAGGCATAAGCCGACCTGATAAGGGTTTGTGCAACTTTGGGTTTTAGGTTAACCCAGTCTCAGTTGTTTAAATTGTGTAGCAACAGTCTGAGAATCCTTTGTGTTAGCTTTGTGCAAATATTGGGTTTGGGATTTTTGGAGACCTCTTGACCAAGTAGCAGCCTAGGTCAAGGGATGCTGCTTTAATGCAAACACTTCTCAATTAAACTGGCTTTAAAAGCAAGGCAAACTATACAAGTGTGGAATTGCAATACCTGGAGGGGACAGTTTGTTTAAACTGGATTGGCTGCTAAAAATAATATTGGAAAGCCAAAACAGAAGAAGACAATGCAGATGTATGTAACAGGAAGAACTTTTATGACAGCTGCAGTTATATATCATATCTTGGAAGGACTGTAGCAGAAACATCTCCATGGGTACACTATGCAAAATCTCTCCTGCTCCTTCTGTTTCTACACTGCTGTCACTGGCAGCTCAGCCTAGGAATAACATTGAGAATGAAGCTTGTCTCTGTTGACCTTGTGTAACATTTGAGTAACTAGAATTAGAAAGGAAAAAGGTCATTTGTCTTGAGTGCTGGCCTCCTGACCCAGTTGCTGGTGAAGTTTATTGGGTGTTGATTGGCTTCAAAGTTGGCAGTGAAGTGTATGGGGAATGGTAAGTATGGGTGCTTGCAGTTTCTCTTTCCCAAGATGGACAGCATTGAGGGAGAAAAGAATTGACTTTGCTTTTAAGAGATGATCTTTTTGTGTGGCTGGACCTTACCATTATTAATATTTGCCAAGGTGAAATGGTGCTACAGAGCTGTTAATATACCAACATTTCTGTAGGTCCCTGCATTCTTGTGAAGCAGTAGCTAACAGGAGTTGGCTAGAAAAGCAATCTGTGTAAGAGTGAGCTAATAGGGGTTTTTGTTGGAGAGAAGTGGAGCTGCCAACTAGCTCTGCAGGTCACACTGCCATGTGAGTAGCGCAAGGGTATTTTTTTTGGCTACTGTACAGGCTGCTGTCCAGTTCCATGTTAATCCTAAGAATTGTCCTTAAGGAGACAGAGAAGAAGTAAAAACACAGAGGGGGCTTCATGTGAAGAATAACCATAAACACATCCATATCTCATTCACTCTTCTCTCTTTGGCTACTATGTGGCCTGTAATGAAGTGAGTTAGAATTCAGTGCTTATACCTCTAGTGGCAGAAAAAATGAAGAACTGTAAATTAGAAATATAACATTAACTTGATGATAATGAGTTCTTCTATTAACTTTTGGTTTCATGTCTCTGTGTGTAATGGACCTTAGGGCATTTCTGTTTTACTTCAGAGCTGATGATGTTCTTTAATCGGATAGCTCTCATGGAACAGCAGTCTCTTCAGAAAGTACAATAAAACCACATCATGCTATTTGGTGCTCTTCTGCTCAAATGCTGCTGTCTTAAGGGAACTTGACAGACAATTGCCACTCTGTTGCCACTGACAGCATTCCAACACGCTCCCTTCAGCATCAGAGGTGATCTCTTGATTACAGGAGTAAGAGCTGCAGAGGTGAACCACTGTATTTTATTGTAGTTAAGAGATAAATAGCCTTCAGGAAAGGAGTAAGTATTACCACACAGACTAATTCTGCTGCTTATCCTTCCTCTCTCAGACCGCCCTGGTATGCTGGACTTTAAAGGCAAAGCAAAGTGGGATGCCTGGAATGCATTGAAAGGTAAGTGTCTAATTAAAACATAAAAATGAATTAATAAAACCACAGGCAAACTAGTAAGAAAAGCGCATGTGGTTCAGCAAGAAATAAAATAGCATTGCTGTATCAGACAAGAGCTCTAGAAGTTCAGAATGCCATGACAATAAACTCTTACTTTTGATTACCGCTGCAAGGCAGAAGTAATTGTGAAAATTGAAGCCTGTTGTGAAAGGCAATTAAGGTGCAAAATTCCCAGATGGCCCAAGATGTTACACAAAGGAGAGCTGTAGCAGCAGCAGAAACCTAAATCTGTTTTCTAGGTCCCAGCTTAGAGCCCCAGAGAATGAGCTTTCTCTTGCGTTGTTTCCTCTAAAGCTTTCCTAACTGGAAGATGCAGCTGGGTTGTGCTTTAAATGAGGAGCCAAACAAGTGGTCCAATCTATGAAAATGGGTTTTTTCCTGGTGTTTTAAGGAGCCAGCACTACATCTAAATGCAGTCTAAGTTGATTGAATGACTTTCCTGTAATAATGCGGAATGGGCTCAATAGAGCTAATATACTATTTAGTTGCTGTTTATACAAATAGTTACATTTATACAAATGTAACTTTGCTTCGAAACACTGTTTTCTCATGACTGCTGAACACATTTGTTTAAAACTTAATACTAGATTCACAGCCAAGTGACCTTCTTAGCTCTCTGGTCACATCTAGTCACATGTGGCTATGTACAAAGACTTGTGACTTGCATGCAAAAGGTATTTTAATCTGTAAAAGGTGTCTGACTGCTTCTTGTGCTATATCTTTCAGGAATGTCCAAAGAAGATGCAATGAAAGCTTACGTAGCAAAAGTGGAAGAACTAAAGGGCAAATACGGCATCTGAGGACTGGATATAGCAGCCACTCACACACCTGAAACATGCCTTATTTCTAATACTGTGGAAAACTGAGAATAATTTAAAATACTTAGTATATTATAGTCGGTTCTCCTCATGCCTGTAGTTCAGGGGGAGCAGTGTACCTGCCTAATGTACTGACATGTTACAAATTCCTTCTGGGAGCAAAATCTGGAACTCATTAAAGTGCATTTGGTACTTTAGCTGTTGTGATGGTCATCCCTTGGAGATTATTCTGAGCTCATCCCTTAATTGCCATGCTGCAGCTGTCAAACACTTCTTTGTAAGGTGCAAGCTGAGCTCTCCAGTCGTTGTGCCACTAGAGGGGGCTCAGTAATCTGCATTTCGTGTGCTGCGGGCACCAAACCGGTGACACGCAATGCTGCTTTGTGTCCTTTCTCATGTAGATAAATGGCAACCCACAGAAGCTGGAGCACCACAACGATTCTCGTGAAGAGGCTAGGTCTAATGCTGTGTATACTGAGAACAAGGTGCTTGATATTTGTTGCCTGGGCCTTTCAGAGACTTACTCAACAATTGTCAAATCATCTTTCATAAAGCACTTCTTGGAGATGTTATTCCCTAACAACGTCAGGGTTCTGGAGAGAAGGCAAGTGCTTGGCAGCTGAACACAAAACGTTCCCTGTGAAAGAAAAGGCTCTGCAGACAGCAGAGTTATTGATGCCCTTGATACTTTATTGGTGTAAATACAGAGCGCTGGTGTTGCCATGTACTGAGGCTGCAGTGAGGGGTGAATCAAGTATAGACTGACTTAACACTTACAAGGCTGTTCAAGCAGGAAGACTTACAGTGATCATCAGCAAAAGCTTTATACAAAACACAGTTGTGACCATCTCTAGTAGGCCTTGAGCTATTTCAGTCTGCCTAGCATAGTCTGTTAAGAGTTGCTGAGACTAGAAAATGAGACTTTGCTTTTAAAATGTGGCGCTGAACTATTCCAGATGGGACTTCGTTCTCGTATGCTCCAACCTTATATGGGGAATAAGGCATTCTAATTCCAGCTGTCCTGGTTAGCATCTGAACAGGTGAGGACTTCAAATCAAATGGTCTTCAGACATCCTATTGATTTATAGAAATACGTAGGGATGAGACCTATCATTATGTATCTGTCTAGGTAAATACATAGTTCTGTACTAAGTTACAGGGGCTTTGCTGTGTATCTAACTTGTATTTTCTTATGCCACTGGTAAAAGATAGAGATAACTATCTCACATGCTTTCAAAAACTGTAACTTCCCCCTTTGCTTTTGTAATGGGAAATGCTCTTGCAGCTAGTTGTTCACACTTTAAAATGTGTTAGGATGAAAAAGGGTTTGTTCCCTGTTCTCATAATGAAAAAGCTTGTTTATTCTTGTTCTTATGGGTAAGTAATATAAGCATTTGGGGTTTTTTACCTTCTCTTGTATCCTCAGTTAGTTACTTGAGATTGTTAATTACATTCACCTTGCAAAAGGGGGGTAAGAGCAGATGTTCAGCATAAGATACGGTTTTAGCTCTTTGCCAGCCATAAATCCCACAGCCAACTCCATCTTCACAGCTATATTTTGTGAAGCTGGTTATTCTTGGAGGATTCTGCCAAGCTGTAGCAGAATGTAGCTCATACTGGCAAATGCTCCCACTTCTGTCTTATTTGCTGGAAGCTGATACACTGTGAGCATGCTGTGCTTTGCTAACATGCTTTCTGTCAAAACAGGTGTTTCCAGAATTTTTGACTGCCAGAGCAGTGGAATTGGATTCTGTCTAAAGAGTGGGCTGGGAATAGCAAGTTCTATATCCTAGTCTTCATTTGGCTTTATTTCCCTTGTGAGACTTAACTAATTGTTACAGTGCTGCTCTCTTTTCTCATACCTGTCTGACATTAGGAAAGCATCACTGTGTACACAGCCCTTCCAGAGAGGGCTTGGCCAATCGGGCTTTTTTTTATTGCCTTTTAATTACAAATAGTGCCAGCCTGTACAAATGACTGAGAAGTCTACGTTGGATGTCTTTATTTGGGTACTTCATTACCTTCCTGCTTGCAGCTTCACCTTCTTAGGAAAGTAACATCAGTGGTCTTACTATTTAGCTTGCCCTTTAGGAATGAATCTCCCCTTCAGAAATCAACTGTGCATTTTGGGACTAAGCTGAAAAATTCAAGTTGTGGAAGAGCTATGCAGTAAGAGATTGTACAAAAGGCACTAAGGCAGAAACAAAGGTACTGATGTCTGTGCACAGTGTTCGTGATGAAACAGTGACACAGAAGTTGGCTGCACAGCCATTAACTGTTGGTGTTACCACTGCAGGGAGAGTGTTGAAAAGGACTGGACTGAGTTGGAGGCTGGTTGCTCAGCAGCAGGGTGAATGTCTGTAAATGCGTGGGATGTTGGGCGGTCTGACTTACTGACCACATAGTTCTTGCTGGTATAGAGTATGAGACTCCTGGGCTGCATAAATAATACTTAGACAGTAGTGATGACAAAGCAGTGGTGGCTTAAGGACATCTACAAACAAATTTGTAGGTAGAGGTAATTGCTTTTATTAAACTAATAAAGTGGTAAAAATAGGCAACCATTAAGGTATATAGCCTTGAGATTTGAAACAGAAGCAGCAAGCCTTGAACTAAAATAACTTCAGAACCATTACACTGCCTGTAATAAGGTAGACTTGAGGGGGGAACAGATGCCTTTGATGGCTGGGCAGCACTGCAAAACAGGGGATTGTTCTGATACCCGTTCAGGGAGTTGCTGCTATTTCCTCTGTGTTAGATCAAAGAAAGACCAGCAACATCCTGAGCCTTGCAGTATTTGTGAAGGGAAAAAGACGTGCGCTGAAACAAGGCCAACGCGCAGGAGGTCAGAGGCCAGCTGGCACGCATGCACTCGGGTCTGGTTTGCTGAGTTTGCAGAGTGTGCAGGACGGAATCTGGACTTTGGATATGGCAATAATAAATGTTAACTTGCGTCTGTGATAAGACAATGTTCCTTCTATCGCACTTCTACTATTAGTTCTTGCAGAGAGAAACTAGTTGATTGGTACCCAGTGCAATTAGAGATAAGCTGGAAATGGGGTGGTGTTTTCCTTGGTTTTTTTCCTGTGGGTTTTGCTTGCTCTTAACAAACATATGTGAAGGTGCAACACCCCTAGCACAGATTTAATGAATCAGTATTGGTGTGCTGCTTAAGGCCCATAACAGAGTTTTCAACCCTGCAAAGTTAATTTTTCTGTTTGACTACAGGTAAATACATAGTTCTGTACTAAGAGGCTGACTGCAGTATGCAACTGTCTTTCTGTCAAAATTCTTCTGTCCTCATTTGGAATGATCTTGTTTCACGATGCAAGTATTTTAACCTTTAAACTTATTTGACCCTGACGATACTGTTAAAATGAATGACAATTGTATTTGCTGCTGTTCAAAATACTTGCTCTGCCCCCCTGAGTGTTCAGAGCAAACAATATTGGGCAATATCAGTTTGGGGTGACTAGGCATGTGAACTGTCTTATGCGATTGGTGGGATTGATTATAAATTGGGGGAGACAAAAAAGAAAATGCATTTTGGCTTAAATAGGTTTAAGCTGTCAGCCAAAAAGGGTTATGCAGACTTCCAAGTTGTCAAAGATGCTTAGGGGTAAGACAAGTTGATATTACATAGACATAACACATTTGAGTGAGAGTCACAGTAATAAACTTGGAAGCGTCAAAGTTGATAGAATAGAACAAAAGGTAGAATCTGATTTTTTTCCCTTACCCACAAGTATATGAAGTATCTTCAGACTCGGATAACTGGTCTATAAATTAGCCAATCTTCAGCTGCTCATTTAAAGTGCAAATAACACCAGTCCACATTCTAGGCATGAATCTGTCTTAATTTACAGGATGAGCTTGCATTTCCTCTGGAATCAGCATATCTGTGAAAGTTAAACGCAGCTTGGTTGGGTTATTCTAGAATAGAGAATTCATGTGGAGCTTGGCTGCAGTGGTCTTTCCACCCATGGCTATTGGGTTTTTGGTTAGTCCCAGTACACATACATTTATTTTTCAAGGTAATGCTTGTTAGAGCTGATTCATCTCTTACAACCATCCTGCCATCCAGTGTAGTTTTAGAGCAATCCTTTGCTATCTCAGGAATACCTGGAGATATACAGAGCTGTTCTCAAAATCATTCAGTATGTCTTGCCTCTAATGTTTGAAAGCCTTCCTGTACTTTAGACTGTCCAGAGTAATGGAGAAGCCATTCAAAAATACAGTGTCATTAATGAGCATGGGCCTGGGGAGGAACAACAAACTGGTCAAAATACCTACAGCTTGGTAAGCTTGTGAAAGAGGTGATACGAAAAACTGCCTGGAACTTGGTATCAGTGGCTCAACAAATCCCTTCTGATCCTTGTGTTAGCGAGGATTACTTTAGCTCTTAAGCACTGCTACTGCAATGAGAAGCTCTTTATTGGTGTGTAAAAGAGCCCAAAACCCTGGCACACTGGGATATTATATGATCTCTCTGCCCAGTCAGTTCTAAGCCAGGAGCTTGTTCTGTGTGCCCAGAATGCCTCGTGCAGGTGATTCCACACCCTGGAAAGAAAGAAAATTACATTATTTGGCTAACGCAGCTGGGGAGACACCTTGTTTGTCTCCACCAAAATGTGCAAAGACACTGACTTGTACTGTGCTCCCCAAAAGGCTGAGACAGTGGTATGGCATCTCCTCCTAACAAACACTGCCCATGTCAGCAAGTTCTGAATCTCTGAAAGGTAAGCTCACCAGTTTAATGTACGTAGTCTTTTTAAATCTGGGTATTTAGCTGCATTGATCTGAGTATTTACTGAGAGAAGAAACATATATGACAGCTGAGAAATCAAATAATATGATTTTTCCCCCAGCTTATATAGGATTGAAATATGCACCCAAATGTTTCTAGTAGTGCTAAAAGGGCAAAAGATTTCTGTATTGAATGTATATTTCAAAGCATCAATTTGTCACAATGGACAGATGCA